ATGAATATAATATACAAGTTTCACTTTTTAAATGGAATTACTGAAATCAATCTACTTTTTCATGATATTCTAATTTTATGACCAGCACCTGTATAGACGGATCTCCATTCATTTCCATTACTCGCTGCACTGTAAGCTCATCTCTAAAGAAAATGCTTTAGTTGATGGTTTGGTATAAAGTTTGATCCCACTCGTACCTTTTTCAGAGCTTGAACGAAGAGGCCTCTCCACTTGTGACTGTTCTCTTCACTGGAAAAGTCGTACATTTGCTGGGGCTGCATCGCTGAAGCGGCTCCTGGCGTTGCCGTGGTCCGGGCTGAGCTGTCAGCATCGGCCCCGTATAGATAGTCCTTATGGGTGGGTCAGTCCGGAGCAGGCACGGGGTGGAGAAAAAGCCACACTGGTTGGTTTAAAAAAATAAAATCTATGCAGAACAAAGCTTAACCGCCACACTGCGCGTCCCACGTCGAGTCCGGGTTGACAAGGAAAAACTCGGCACAGAAAAAGCACATGTAGCTGTGAAGTTCACTCGCTAGCTTAGGGGCTAATAATAGCTGTAAACACAGAGCGCGGCTAAGCTAACGGCTAACAACAATGTTGCAGAGAGTTTTACCAGTTAGTTTGCTCACAGCAGCGTATGGCAGGCACATTTAGATTAAAGTTAGAACCAGAAAAACAGCCGGTGGTTTGTTACCTGCTACGCGTTAGGTTAGAATGTGCGCTACTTAAAAACACCTGTAACCTTTAGTAAGCTAAGCAGCTAGCTGATGCTACAGGCAGCTGCTGGCCTCGATGCGCTTCCACTCCTATGTTGTGGCTCACGACCCCTTCAGCTCCAAACAAGGCACACTTTTTTCTTCGCGGCTCATTTCACAATTAGTCATCTTTTCCGCAGCTACCAGATGTAACATTCAGCGCATATTCCTTTTAGAAAAACAGTGGGAAGTCCAAGGCATTTTGGTGGGTGAGAGCAGCTATAAAAAGAAGTCTCAGGGTTTTTGGTTAGAGAGAAGTGGCTCACAGCAACTCCGCTGCTGCTGCCGCTGCTGCTTGTTTGCTGCAGCTGCGCGTCCCTCCGTCCTCCAGGCGCAGGATGCGGAATTTCACATTTAGCGGAAAAAACACCAGAGTCTGCATCATACATCCAGAAAAAAAGCGAAAACAAAAACAAAATATATACATTAAAATTAATTTATTAATTTTTTTTTAAGCTGGATTAAAAAAAAAAAAACGTCAAAATACATAAGCAATGGACAAACATACTAATTTACAGAATAAATGTATTCCCAAACTATTAAGATTCCTGGTTTTAAAAAAAGAATATAAAAAAAGACTGCTTTAAAAAAAAGATTACATTTAAACACACTCTCTGCCCCTGCTGTTGACGAAGTTTGTTATTGTTAGTCCGCCCTCTAGTGGATAAACTCTATTTCTACATGCTTGTTGATCTGAACTGTAACTGTAACTAGAAAAGTTTAGAGTCTGGATATAGTTTAACACCCACATAGTTATATTTCCTGATCTTCTTGTATTTTACAATCTCATTGTAAAATACTTATTCTTGAAAAAAAAAAGACTATATATATATATATATATATATATATATATATATATATATATATTGTCTTATATATATATATATATGTCATCCATTTCCTTCGTGCTGTTCCTGGAGAAAACCTGGAAGGTCAAGGCATCAGTGGTGCCCGTGGTCATTGGTGCACTCAGGGCGGTGACCCCCAAACTTGAAGAGTGGTTACAGCAGATCCCTGGAAATACATCAGACGTCTCGGTCCAAATGAGTGCAGTTCTAGGAACAGCAAAGATTCTGCGCAGAACCCTCAAGTTCCCAGGCCTCTGGTAGAGGACCCCACTTAGAGGAAAAAGGAGGGAAGACCACCAGATTCACACTGAAGGCATCAAAACTATGAATTCACACATGTGGAATTATATACTTAACAAAAAGGTGTGAGACAACAGAAAATATGTCTTATATTTTAGGTTCTTCAAAGCAGCCACCTTTTGCTTTGATCACCGCTTCGCTCACTCTTGGCATTCTCTTGATGAGCTTCCAGAGGTCGTCACCTGAAATGGTTTTCCAACAGTCTTGAAGGAGTTCCCAGAGATGTTGAGCACTTGTTGACCTCACCAGACCAAAGCCCTCTGGTCTAATGTCCATTCCTACTCAAAACATTTCATTCTCAGCTTAAAAATATTCAAAAGAATTAAGGGAAAATAGATCAATAATTGCTTTGTGATTGTGACCAGGACACCATGGAATAATCAGCTAAAATAATCAAATAGATTCAGTGATCATAACAAACCACGTCGTAATAAATACATCAATCTCTGGTTGACTCATTCAATTAGGATTTTTTTTGGCAAGTTCCAGATTTTTTTCTTGCATCTCTGACTTTTAAGAAACCCCAAAAATAGTACTACAACCTCTGGCAAGTGACTCTTTGGACCCTCTCCAATGGTTAATAGTAGCTAAAAATGAAGACCTTTGAATTAGGTATAAAAAAAAAAATACTATTTTTAAGAGGTTAAAACAAAACTTTCACAGAAGAATCAAACTAAAAGAACGAAATGATTTTTTAATCTATTTTTTTGTCACCAGCCTTGAAAGTATCTTTTTTTAATTTTTCATAATGATCTTTAAAAGAAGCTCTATGCTTCATTTTTATGAAATTTTTTATTTACCTTATTTTAAAACCTGGAATTATAAATAAACTGCTGGTCATTTAAAATAAGAACAGATCTCCTATAGCAATAAAGTTTGTCTAAGTCTATAATATAATAAAAGTATCAATAATTTTTATTGAGTTGCACTCAGAGTAAAATGGCTCTTTGGGTTTTAAAGGTTGCAGACCTGTGCTCTACTTTGTCAGCATCCTTGCAGGCAACACTCTGGGCACCAACTACAGACAAAAACAAAGCAACATATTTAAAACCATACAGACAGAATACTGCATTTATTCATTTTAGAATGGGCTTTTTTTTCCTTTTACATAAATCAGACAAAAATTACGAACAAAAAAAAAAAAAATTATACCATTAACAGTTTTAAAGACATACATTCTTATCATAGTTTGCTCCTGCTTCACCATCCAAGCCAGCCTCCATCATAGTTTGGGGTTGTTTGGTGTTAAACATTGGCTGAAATAAAAAAAGGTTCAACGGTTTGCTTCAGTCTACTTTAAAATCTGTTTCTTCTGCTAAGCGACGCTAGCTTTAAGCTAAATTCCTGTGCTTTTTGAGACGTCCATCACCTAATCAAAATCACACCAAGGAAGCTTTACACAATCTTCTTCTGTAGCATATAAAAACTTTTTGCCTTTACATTTTTCTCCAGCGCCTTTATTAGATTACTCTTTATAACCATGTCCAGGGTTTAACACTTTAGAAAGTTGACAGTAGAACAAACCCCACATTTTATGCACATTCCAATTAAAAAATATATATTTTTGTAAAAATACTTTATTTGTTTATAATAAAATAACACTGACAGATTTATTAACATGAATAGTTACAGCAGTGGGTGAACTCACCGAGGCAACTTAAAGGCAAATTTAAAAGGGATCACAGTCTTAAACGAGATAAAATCACAACATTAAAAAGTTCTGTATCGGTTTGGTATTGTATAGAAGTTCCTACAAAATGATATCCAGGAAGAAAAATACTTTCTCCCATAAACTGTGCATAAATGTGCAAACAAATGTGCTGCCCAAAACACCAAATTACTCAAAGGTACACCAAGTCAATACTAGCTAAAAAAAAAAAAAAAGGATATCAGCACCAAAATTCAAATAGTAGAAACACCGTATTTAAAAGGGCATGCCCACATTTTCATTATGTGAAAGATAATGCTCTAAAGAATTAATTTGAAGTTTGAATATAATTCAATATTCTCATAATTGAAGATAGTATTTTTTTCAAAGGATTTTTTTTAGATGACAAAGTTGTTTATGTTTGGTTTTTGTAAAAAAGTAAACATGTTTTGAAGCCTATTTTAGCACTTCATTGAGAAAAGTCTTTCAAAATATAAGTTAGAATTAAGGCCTGACATGCCTCCGAAGGCTATGGGACGGATGCAGTTTGAATCTGACAGTTTCGTCGCACCGATCTCCATCTACAGTTTAAAGCGACTCTCCACCTCATCTGCAATCATTTCAGCGATGGCTAAAGAAGAGGTAGCAGCTGGGGAGGGAGCGTTGCGCACGTGGAGGATCCGACTGCCCAAATCTCCAACCCCGCCGTCAAAGACAAAGTCATCAACAAGGTTCCCGTCCCGGTCCAAGGCTTGAGCTCGGACTCCAGTTGGACCTCTGGACAGAGAGACATATAAGTAAGAAAAAAAAACTCTAAATAAGACAGATAAGCTTTATAACATAATGTTTTGATTTTCTTTTCCTACCTGAGCACATCAGTAAGAGAGAGTTCAGGGATATACTTTTGCAGAATTTTGATCTGTGCACCAAGGAATACTCCCCGGTACATTTCCCCGATTCCATAGGTTGCATTCTTAATTATAAGCTTCTGAAGGCCTCTGCGAATAATAAAAAAATCAAAAAGAGAGAAAAAAATCCTTTAAAACAACAAATATTTCGTTTGCAAACATTTCAATCTTTTAAAAGATATAAAACTTCCAACCTAAAAGAGAGAGCATCTGCAAAGTCTTGTGCGTTGAAGTCAAACAGGTTATAGCCCTCTCTCTTAAACGCCAGGACGGCATTGGGGCCAAGCCAAACACTTCCATCCATCCTTGGAGTGAAATGAACACCAAGGAAGGGGAAGCGGGGGTCAGGAACCTACATAAGAAGTGAATTAGTTAACGCTGAAATGTCAGGAATAACACTTAAAATGCTTAAATGCTTGCCATAATAAAAATCCTTAAAAAAAACTCTGAAAAAGAACTAAAATAACTCAGATGGGTCATGTTTACAGATCTTCAGTATTAAAGACCTTTACGAGGTTTTAAAATAGAGCAAATCAAGAAAAACAAACCTAAAATTGATACAAGTATCTGTTCACGGGGAAAGTTACATTTATCTTTTATTTCTTAACTTTACTGCTGTAAAACACTCAAATAAAACCTTGATATTATCAAGGTGTTGCTGTATCTGTAGTTCATATCAGTAGCTTGTGCTGCTCTTTTTACATCTCTCTTTGCAGGACATAAAGCAGACTGATAATCCATCGCTTTCTTTCACCTTTTCTCCCTTTCTTTCTAATTTTCCAAAGTAGTGTCCTCATAACATAAATTATTCAATAAATAAATCATAATAAAACTATTTACACATATAAATCAAGCAGAGCAGTGAAAATGTTCCACTTGTGAGAGTAAAATCTGTTGGGCTCTTTCTGGCATGAGGACAACAATTCTTATTGCCACATTGCTAGAAAGGACACTATTAAAAATAAATGAATAAATAAAACCAGTTTAGGATCCTTCAATTTGGTTTTGATTAAAAAATAGCTCCTTCTGCCTAAAAAGATACTTAAAGTGGAGGTCTGTGCTTTATTAAATGCTTTTATTGATAAAATTCTTATCCAGGTCAATTGATTTTATTCAACTAGAATAAAATCTGGTTGATGCATCAGGTGAGTTTTAAGATTTGGAGAATAAAAAACAAAAAAAACATATTTTATTCAGTAAGAATTATCTGGGACCTTTATACAAAGTTAATCTCCCCACCTTCCTTCCAGGGCAGTTTTTAGGGCAAATCACTAAGCCTGGTTGTTAATAGTCAGAAAACAAGCAGTGTGTCCAGATTGAGCTGCTTCCAGAGGACTTACAGGGTAAATGTTTCCTTTGACCAGGTAGTGTTTCTCTGGTTTTAAGACCAAATAATCCCCTCTGAAGGGGACGATCCTCGGTTCCGGACTGCATCCAGATATCTGCGACAGACGGTCCGAGTACAGGCCGCCACAGGTCAGGACATAACGACACTGCACTTCATTATTCTGGGATAAAATAAAAAAAAGCACTAAAGTAAGGAACAGCAGAATGCAGATCGGATGTGAATCTTTTCTGTAATATGACTGAACCTTACATTTTTATCTCTTATAGAAATAGGATATTTCATTCCTGTAAATAAAGAAAAAAAAGATGTAAATTTGAAGACTTGTGAAAAGTAAATCGTTATTAGATGTCTATGATTGTTTAATGATCCTCACCCTCTTGGCTCCCAGCTGGACTCTCCTGAACCACGGAAATATCTCTGACCTCAAACTCAGTAACGACTGCGCCGCCTGCCTCCTCAAAGTCTTTCCCATACCTGAGAGCCACCATCCGCCAGTCCACAATCCCAGTGTAGGGCGAATCCAAGGCCATTATCCCCTGAACACATGACATCATCTTAGCTCCTCCTCTCATGCTTTTCTAGATATAAACAACCAAATCAACTCATCTTCTACCCTGCAGTAAGGCTCTCGCTCTCGGATGCCCTTGGCATCGACGACGCTGAGGTCGCGCACGTTGTTCTTTAAGCCGCGTTCATACAGAGCTTTCAGTCTGGGAATCTCTTCCTGCTCCACAGCGACGATAAGCTGTCAGAAAAAATAACATCAGAGGGCAGATTAAACATTTCAACAATGCGCTGATCAGATGTTTACCTCAATAAAACACCAGCAGTAACGTCATTAGTGTTTCATCAAGTTTAAGAGGCTGGATCAATGTTTAAGTTTCAGCAAAATCTATAAAATCTAATTACAACAGAGGGATCAAAATAGACCTTCAACATGTTGCCACCATCATCATCATCATCACCTTGACATAAAGCTGGTACAGTGTTATTAGGACTAAGACGACAAATCGTTCTCATCAAAAATAGGGTGCATATGTAGTTTTTTTTTATTATTAAAACTGTTAATTTCTATGTTACATGTTTTAAACGTAATATTATTGTGAAGAAATCTGTTATTTGATATTGTAATAAATGCTCTATAAATAAGATTACGTCCGCCTTTTCATTAAGTTGCACCTAGGGATGTCCCGATCAGCATTTTAGGCCTCCGATTCCAATCCGATCTTTTCACCTCAAATCCGATCCGATATTTTCTCTTTAGTAGTGAAATTGGTAAAACTCAAATATATTTTGAGCAAGAAGTGACTCAACTTTTTATGAGACTAATATTTGATCATTACTATTATTATTGTACATCCCATGAAATCAAAACTTTATCCAGAATTAAAGGTCAGCTTCAATTTAATGTTTTACACAAAAGTCAAAAGAAAAATACTGACTTGGTAGAGTATTATCAAATAAAAAGCGATATCCAAGATCCACGTTTAGCTTATAAGAGCTTAATATAGGCTGCCATAAAGTCAAAAGAAATAAACTGACCACTGAGCAAATTTAAAATGCCCTCGCTCATCTTAGATGTGGTGTAAACAGATTGACAAATAGTCACAATTCAGTAAATGAATTTGAAACAATCCAACTTAAAAAGTAAGTAAACAGAATTAAATCAAATGAATTCAAAACTTTAGGACTGCAACTTAAAAATAGCATGATCACTGAAACATGATCAAAATCAACAAGAAAATTCTTCATTAATGAACAAACACGTACGTAGCCCTAAAAACAACTAAACAACTAAACCTGAATACTTGGTTATAAGAACCACAATGCTCTTTCCAGTTATGCCTCACTCACATATTTTAATCCAGTCAAGTTGTCTAGAGCAATAAATCTGACCAACCTTTCTGTGATCTTTGCTCTATCATTTTCGTTGGAGTATTTCTCTCTCCTCATAACGTCCAGCGTTTGTTGCTTTGCTTTAGTAACCTTTCCTCCTGCAGCTTTACAAAACGCTTCATAAACATTGTCATGTTTTGTCCTCAGATGATAAATCAAGTTCATGGTGTTAAATGTAGCTCTGCTGCTGCCTCCTCTTGAAATTAACATGTTGCTGACATTGCAAGTAGCTTTAGGACAGTCTTCAGTCACAACAGTAAAACACTTCCACACTCCTGACAAGCTTGCTTTGCACCCGCTGCGGAGGTTTGTATTGTGCAACTACTGTCAACCGTAACTAGCGGGTGCTTTACGGCAGTTGCAATAAAGATCGGCGCGACAAGTCAGGTGATGTAGCCGATCTCTGATCACGGCAAAATAGGAGAAGATCGGGCCGATCCGATCTCGCGATCCGGATCAGGACATCCCTAGTTGCAACCATTAAAAGTTTGGTTTAATGGTTGCAACGGCCCCTCTGGGGCAGATTTCTGTCATGCATGAAGGTCAGAATTTTGCAGCAGGCACTCTCTGGGAGCATGTTTACATTTTTTTTTTTTTTTTTTTTACATTTTTATGTTACTGTTTTTATATATTTGGTTTCACTATTTTTCAAGGCTGCACTTTTAAAAAGATGAAGTTGTCCAAAGAGCTGTTCTAAATGAAATTTCTTTTTGTTTCACACTTTTGTAAACAAAATGACAAATAAATCTGTCTAAGTCTTTAAGTCTAATGTTGATGCAAATCTCTGCAATGCAGTCAGTGCATCTCCCAGTTCACTATAGGGTTTGGTTCCTTTGTCGTTCCTTCCAAAACACTTTAAAACGTTAAAATCTTAGACTCCCTAAAGTTAAAATACCATAGCACCTACAAACAACCATTTGGTTAAAGTGCTTAATTAAAAGACCAAAATTAACCTCCCATTCAAACCAACAATGAGTTTAATATCTGCACGTTTCTGCCTTGTGTTGTACCTTTATTTAGCCGAGTCTAGACTGCATGCATTCAAGTAGCAGCGTAGATGTGTGTCAGCTGATCACTTTGAGTTCATCATCTACTGTAAGACAATCAGCCTTTGCAGCGAACCTGATCAAGTTAAAACCCACCTTTCCACATCTTTTATAAGGGATCCCTTTCTTCTCACAGTACTCATACGCTAAAGTTGCTCCTCGTACACACAGGCGAGCCTTCAGGGAGCCTGGCGTGTAGTAGATCCCACTGTGGATGACTCCACTATTGTGCCCACTCTGGTGTACAGCTGATAGGACACAGAAAAACCACAGATTAGAAGAAATGGGAGAGTGATTTTTATATTTTATTTCCAGATGTATTTATGCAGATCTTTGCAGAACACATTATGTTTAAAGATAAACAAGTGATAAATCAATCATACAATGGTTAAATTAAAATCATTGGACATTTAATTTGTAAATAAAAACCACCTACCAAGTTCTTTCTCTTTCTCCAGCAGGACAAAGGTCAGCGCCGGGTGTCTCAGGATAAGCTCTCTGGCTGAGGCCAGGCCCACAATGCCAGCTCCCACTACGGCCACATCATATGTGCTGAAAAACAGAGGCAGTGGTTCAGGTTCCCACAGCAACTTCTCTGGGCCACGGGGGTGGGGGGGAGTGGAGCCTAATATTTGACTGTGTGCTTCAATGTGTAACTGGGTATGGCTTTATAACCGAGGGACCTTTGAATCTTCAGTGCACTGAAACCCTGACAACAGGTGCTGCAGTTAAAAGTCAGTTTGGAGCCACACAGGATTCACAAAACTCACCATCTGTACATTTCCTCACTCCTCCTGATCTGCAGTTTGCTAAGAGGAATGTAAACAAACAAGGAGGACGGTGATCTGGTCACATGAGAGCAAAATGGATCTTAGATTCTTTTGTTCTTCTGGACTGTTGGAGCTTCAACAATCCAGAAGATCAAGGGGAGGCTATTTGATTTGCTTCTGACTTGAAATGCGTGCAGGAGGACGGACCTCCATGCTGGTTGAACACATCAGCTCTCTAACTAGAGATTGCTCTGGTGTGAGCCTACAGAGAAAGACTCCTGGATAGGTGTTGAAACGTCTTCAAAGAACTGAGAAAAAGTCTGGTTGCCTTCCAGTTTAAGTCTGCTTGTGGTTGAAATGACCCAGATGAAAAACAACACAATGCATGGTCTAATACAAATAATTATCCCTACTGTAAAACATGGTAGTGGCAGTGTCATGCTTCTCTGCAGGAGGCGGAGAGAAGCTTGACATCAGAGCTGATCGGTAAAGCTGACCGATAGCAGATAAAACTGACAACTAGGGGTGTAAATAATAATCGCTTTGCATCGATGCATCGATCCAACAGCTGATGATCAGATGCATCGACACGTCCGCAAACGTATCGATTCATGTTTTTTTTGCTCCTGGACGTAATTCTGACTCCCGTGCTGCGGTGGCGCTAAACCTATTTTGCCCTCCTACCTCGCTTCCTTTAGCCACACCCTCTTTGCGGTATTTTTTTATGCAAGGCCTTTCAGAATCTATAACGCAGGGTATTATTATTTTTCAGTGAATGAGGTTTTAATAGGTGGAGTACAACTTTCCTACTTCTGTTACATGCTGTTGTTTCTCAAATAAAATGCATAACGATATTACAGCTTTCATTGATTTATTTCAATTCTGAAACATTGTCTAGCCTGTAAGGTAACAAAAATTTTTTTTACCAACTAATCGGATTGTATTGTGTATTCTTGAGTATTGAAAATATTCAAATTGTTGGGTCAGGAAATTGATCCTGAATCAAATCGCCATGATAAGTGTGATTTACAACCCTACTGACAACAGGGTAACGCAGGAGAAAACCTCTTAGAAGATAAGATCTGAGATTTTACAGATAGACCTGAATAAAATAGATAATCTATGAATAGAAATAAAGGAAGCTGCTGAAACAGGCTGCCTGCTCTTCGCTGAGCCAGCCAGAGAAGGATTGGTTAAATCTATACTGACACTCACCAACAGGTTAGACAGACCTTAGTGCAATTTAAGGAAGAATGTGAAAGATTTCAGACTTTAGACGTGCAAAGCTAGCAGACATTTTTGCCCCACCACCAAAAAAAACATGCAGCTGTACCTTCAGCTAAGCGCCATTTAAAAAAAAAAGACCACCAGTCCTCTAAATATTTCAAAATTACAAACTACGTCATATAGCTCTATCACTTAGTATCACTAATATAATGCATGGAGGTTTGTGCCTTGATGACTGCATGTGAAAAGATTAAGGGACGTAAACATTATTGCATTAAATATACACAATGTTTCAGAAAATCTATAAACAGCTTAATAAACTCACACGGGGAAGACAAAAAAGGATCCATCCTTCTAAGATTATGAAAGGTTAATCATTAATTAACTCTTTAAACAGCTACCCTTACAGGGACAACATTTCAAGGAAATTTTGCTGCAAAATTTTTTCCAAAACACTTTTTAGACACAAATCTTCCAGAATCGGCCGTTTGTCTTCAAAGCTTTGTTTGCAGTAAGTAAAGCTAAATTTAATATGTGAACTTAAGCTCTGAGGACTCTGCGTTCAAGACCTGCACGATTTGTTATTCAACATGTTTTCAATGTTTCAAATGTTTTTTAAAGCAACGTAGAAGAAAGAATAACCTTCAGGTAGAGTTTTGTGTCCCAATAACTCTGAATGGAGAGATCAGACATGCTAACAAATGCACACTTGTCTTGCTGATAAGGAAGTCCAGCTCTGTGATTGGATGCCCTCTGGACTCAGTGCAGGAGGTGGGAAACAAATGAACATCTCTGTCGGATAATGTGCCCCCCCCCCCATGCATGAAGCTGGTGCTGAACTGGAGAGGTCCTTCAGTGACAGACTGCTGCACCTTAAATGCACCAGGGAGCGTTATCACAGATCCTTCCTCAGAGCAGCTGGAAGACTCTAGAACCTCAATAAGTTGTTCCATTCATGCTGATTTTGAACAGTTTCTGTCTTAGTTTAATAACATGCTGCTTTCTTATTTGCGCATCTCTGATGTTGCTGCTATTTTTCACATATCCATTACTGCGGAGGTCTTCAACAGGGGGTTCGCAACCCCAAGGGGGCCCACGGAGGTACAGCATAGGGGTCGCAAAAGTTTTGGTTGATTAGACTTTTATATTCTCCCCTGCAATTTTTTCCACTAATTGAAATGACTTTAAATCCACATTAACATGAATTAAAAACACTGATGTA